CTTGGGCCTTGGGCCCAGAAGATATAGATTTGATCATACTTCTATGTGAAATAGGTGTTGTATGTGAATTAAGTGTCTTATTTTTCCACTGTAAAACAAAGTAATCTGAGTTTTGTCAGTTAGGCTTGTCGGCGAGTCTAAATACTACATTATCGATAGTGAGACTTATCTTTGGCTTCTGCTGCACACACATCCCAGGATTAAGCTCTGTGATTTCTTGCTAAAATGCACCTGGAGAGTCATTCTCAAAATCTCCCTAATAAGTGTTGCTGTCTACCAAACTTTTTTTTAAGCAGATATTTTCTAAGTGCCATGTCTGGGTAAAATGAATAAAACATTTACTTCCAGAACCAGAGGCATCACAAATAGCACCTTCTACTTTGCAGCTCTCTGACTTGTCTGATCTCAAAAAAGTATTTAAGTATCAGCTTTAGATAAATGTGCAGCCTTGATATGCAATTACTGAGAGCTTTCTAACTAAACTACAGCCTGCCAGATCTTTAAAACACTGCTTTTCCAGTTTTAAAAGATTCCTTTTGACAGCTTCAGCCAAAGTGCAGCAACATGTACATTTGTCAGTTTATTTGCAATGCAATCTTTCACTTCTCAGAGTAATGATAGCATGAGTCATTTAAGGAAGAAGAGATTCGTAAGAGTGTTCCAACAAGGAGCTATAATTAACGTGCGGTGTTCCTGCAATGACAAATGATGAGTCTATTTAATGGCCTAATTGGCAAGTACTCAAATACTAATGAATCTCCTAATTAGGCTCTTACTAAAAGTGCATTAGCAAGGTCAAGCTTACATCTCATTACACATTGTGTTGAAATTATCCAAAAGTTCACAGTGTGTCCTGGCACAGCAGCCTTTAATGATTAACCATCTTAAAAAGGGTGTCCTTGTCATAAATGCTACAATCAATCATCATAAAGTGAACACCCAAGGCGTCTCGTGATGCCGTCATTGTCGTGGTGACGCACAACAGAAAGATTCAGGCTGATAAGGACCGCAAAGACTCTCATCAACGTCAAGAACTTCAGATCAAGACGATTAGGGTTCATGTTCACAACCAAACCCATGCACCTCTACAAGTTATGACTATATGTACCATTATCATGTCTTACTGCTATAGTCCATTTTTTGAAAAGGATACATTTCATTTTTGTTGCCAGAGACTCTAAGTCACTGCTTCCGGCCAATGAATTCATAAATTCCAACTTTATTCTAATTTTGAGATCATTTAAAGCATTTCTTGCGAGCAGCAGGAACAAGAACCAATATGTGCAACCTAAGATTATGAATGCTTTGAAAAGTAAGATATATAATATGTTAATCATCAAGCTTTAGGGGTGCAGATTCTGTTACCTCTGCCCAGAGCCAGGTTGTGGTGCTATGCTAAGCTAACCCTCTGCTGCTATAGCTTCATATTTAGAAAGGTAAAAATGTGAACGTGCCAATCATCATCTAACTGGGAAAGAAATCCAAAATGTCTAATAGTTGTAACAGTTTCAATTGTATATTGTAAGTCATATTTTTCATTTGATTTTAGATTGCTGCTGTTTGGATCACATTACTGCCATTGATTTCCTGCAAATGGTGTTTTGGTATAGCAGAACAATTCAAAAGAATAAAACAGCACATTAAGTTCACTCTTAAATAAATTGCTTTTAGACTACAGATAGAAAAAGGTCTGTCCTCCACTGTGACCAAATGTCTTTGTATTTCACGCCCTTGTCACACAGGAGTTGGTTTTCCAGCTCAATCAGTGACTTATTGTCACTCACTTAGATAAACAGAGGAAACAATAGCTTTTGACCAAAATCACTGAAGGGAACCAGCAAGTCATGACCATAAGTGTTCATATAGGTGTGTTTCTACTCAATGTTGATTCTGTTTAGCTCTCTGAAGCTTCATCTCATCTCTGATTCCACTTTTTCTGAGTTTCAAACCAGAAACTTCACATGTTGTTAAACACGAAGGCTCTTTCAAATAATATATATGGTATGCAACTTGGCCGCATAAAGCCTCAGAAAAAGATTTAAAATAGTAAAAACTTAAAATAGTAAAAACACTAAAAAAGCAGAAATAATCCTGTGGCTGAAGAACTACATTTTTCAGGCTAAAACTAGACAGGAAATGTTTGTCTATAAACCTTTACAAATATCCCACTATACAAACATCAATGTCCTGACTTAAACATATTTAAAAGGCTGAATAATGACCACAAAACGGACAAACTGAAATCTGAATTTAAGTCAATAAAATCCCAGTGCTCTTTTTCTTCTTACGAAGAAGTATGACAAATTCTGTCACATACCAGTGAGTCATGCAGACAGACTAAAGCAGAATTGGCTCCGCAAATGTTTGCAGACAAACCAGATTCAGATGGTGATAGATGATAAGCAGGAGGAGGCGGCTCAGTGCTGGAGCAGCACGCCATCTATTGGAAACAGAGGGGACTCCATGTCTTGTTTTCTGCGTTACTTGTTAAATTGATGACACTGAAGCTTCCCACATATAAGAAACAGGTCTGACAGAACGACTTGAATGCACTGTAGGTAGTATGTCAGCACAGCAGGAGAAGAGAAACAGCCATTCTCATACAATCAATCAGACAACAAAATCTGAAGAGCTACTTTTTTCAGGCTAAAACAAGACAGGAAATGTTTGTCTATTAACCTTAAAAAAGATCCCACTATACAAACATCAATGTCCTGACTTAAACATATTTAAAAGAATGAATAATGACCACACATTTAAAAGGAATTATTCCCTCTATTTTCTCTTCAAACCGAAGGTGTCTTTTGAGCAAGGCACCGCACCAACGCAGTTAAAGAGGAAACAAGAACAACCTATAGATCAATAAAACATATAATTAGGAGAATTCTAAAAAAACTTCACGAACAAAGGATGAACGGGAATAAATACAAAGAGAAACAAAGTAGTCTGGCAGTGAAATATGACTACTGACATATTTTTCGTTGTGTCCCATTCTGAAAATGTGGGTTTGTGGGAGAGACAAAGAGTCAGAACAAAATGATGATGGATGAAATTAAAAATATTCCTCTGCATAGGGGAAGATTGGAAGAGATATGATGAAAAGACTGTAGCTATGTCAAACAATAGAGACGTGTGTGAGTGTGTGTGTGTGTGTGAGTGTGAGTGTGAGTGTGAGTGTGTCAAGGGGTTATAAAGACAGAATAAAGGAAGCAGATATAGAGGAAGGAAGGAGATAAAGTCAGGGGGAGGGGATGCATACATATTTTGGGGATTTACATTCCACGTTGGTTTGCTCATGAACAGACGCAGTCATGCTTAAATGACAGAACAATGCAATACAACAGTAAACAGTCTGGTATTTTACTACAATTGCATATACGCTGCGTGGATACTAAACGCTGAGGGCATTAAGTACAAATATGACAAGAATCTACGAGTGATAGAGAAATACTAGACAATAGACACACGCTCATATAAATGTCATGTAATGACAGGAACATCATGGAAATATTTAAGAAAATATGCTATTATGCAATACAAACACACCAATGAATATAGCAAGATGTAACAAGAATCACGATCATATCAACCTACAGTCCCGATTGAGAAGACTGCCTCAGACACGTTAGTATGTTTGTGTTCTATAGAAACACTTCAAGACTCCCGCAGTGAAAACGTGTTTTATTTTATTTTTGAGCAACCTTTCAGCCTTTCAGTTTACTAAGTTACCTTTAAGTGAGAAACATGTACATACCTAAGACATAGACTGCCTATTCAAGCACTTTAACTGTCACAAACTTTTACAATTGTAACTTTAAAGATGAATGTTCACTCACCACAGTTACCGGCGGTCTTCCCTCTCGGGGTTAGTCTGACAGGAAAGTGTCTCTGAACCTGCTGGATTTGTCTGTCAGGTAAAGCCACCGCAGTTATCACTCATTGTCATTTTTATTGCTGTAGAATAGTTAGTTAGTTTAGACTTCAAACTCTGCAACATGCAGGGCTAGGTGCCCCGCCGTCACTGTGACGTCGACGCCCCAGATCACATGACAGGAAGTGAGCTGCGGGACGTAAACAACTTTACTATATTAAACACGAGGTCTGCCTTTACACACACACACACACACACACACACACACACACACACACACACACACACACACACACACACACACACACACACACACACACACACACACACACACACACTTCTGTTTGTTTGATCATCTATTAGGCTTATCTGTACTTTGCCAACTCTTGCCTCCTTCCATGTTTCACAATTCTCTTTTGCTGATAGGCTGCCTAATGCTTAATTATTCCCCTTTAAGTTGTCTTTTTTTTACCTCATTTAACTAGACGATATATTGAGCTTACAGACATACAAAAGGGGTTTAAAAGCATTCAACAATTGTATATTTGTTGTTGTTTTGAGCACTATGCATTTTATATTGAATTCGCCATTACACATTTTCCTGCTAAGAATTTGTTTTCATTTCATTTCCAATAGATAAACCTTTTTTTTTCTACACAAACATGCCAAGTAGTTATTGCATTTAGTCGTCATCTCTAATGTTAATTCTTTCTTTTTGCAATCGTCCAGAATGCTAATATCTAATTTCTGCTTTTGTGGATAACTTAAACACATGGATTCAGAAGTAAAGGCTCCCTCACAGTCACAGATGTTACTAATATGTATTTTAATCATATTTATAAGTTTGTCCAGAATGCCAGATGCTCCCACAGCATCTCTTATCCAGGCACACCCTTAGTTTAGCCACAGTGGCAAACTCATCTTACTGGCTCTTACCTTGTTGGGTGTCCCTCACCATCAAACCCCTCGGACAACATGCTTTATCTCTGGAGTCTGAGCCATCTGTCCTGGGACACTTGACCTGGTGAAGTGTGGGTGAAAAGACAACACAGTTGGCTCTTCTGAGCATAACATCTAAGTGAGGGGTCACAGAAACCAGTGACACAGAAAAGGAAAATTCAGCAATGTGTTTTAGGAGTATTTGTTTTATTTTGTTGAAATCACAATAATGTGCTTTTTATATTCTGACAGTGAGTGTTAATGCACTTAAGGCTCTGTCATATGGTGATCCTCTGGACTTTTTAAAGTTTGATTTTAGTGCAATCCCTGAATGTAAGCATGTGGCAACATTACTTACCAGAAAAGTAAAACAGAGAAGTGTAAAATATTATCCCTGATTGAGAGAAGGCTGAATGTCTCAGTCATTATAGTGTATGTTTATATAAATAAATAAGTAAGAGCAGCTTAAATAGACACATTAAGTTCAGTAAAGGATTTCATCTGTCAACATTGTATGTGAAGAGATATACAGAGTCAAATCACGTTGTGCCTTTGATGTAATCACAGCCAACACAGATACACTAGTTTAATTTGCAAGTTCAGCAAACCAAACTACAATACTTACATTTGATGACATTTTTTCTAGCCTGTCCTCTCATGTCGCCTTAATCCTTCCCCCCCCCCCCCATCTCTTTTCTCGGTAAATTCGCAGTCTTTGTGTTCTTACTTAGCCCAAAATAGTTCAATGTATTTGTGATTTTCACTGTTCCTTTTTAAATTGAACACAAAGAGTTGGTTTCTTCATCTAAACTATTTTAGGATTCAACTATAACCTTCTGGATGTCTCAGGCCAGGGTATACATTATTTATACATCATATATGACAATACATATACAATATTTCACATGTAATTGTTCATTTCAGTTACAATTATGTTTTGTTATCTATAACAATAATAATAATAATAATAATAATAATAATAACTGCCCAAAAAGGCACATGTACTGTATTCTTGTAATATCATTTTGTAAGTGGGCAATTATGAATTCTACAAAGTGCTTACAAAGAAATACATCACCAATATAGAAAACATTCAATTTATGTGTAATGTAGAGATGATTCAGCTCCAATCAGCAGAATTAAAAGCAGCCAAACAAGCAGGTCAAAGCTAAAGCAAAACTACTCTACTGTCATTGAAAAAAGTGCCTTTGTAAAGAAACAAGCCTGAGATATACATAGAAATGGCCTTGTGTAAACAACATTTCTGGGGGGTTTTTCTGCACAGAATCATCAGAGTTGTAGACCAGACAGGACGTCTGGTGAAGTGTCCGTCATTTTGAGTACTGGGCAAACGGAGACTCCTCGTTCACTTTGCTCTGGAGAGATGAGAGTAAAAAGAAAAAAGGCATTTAAAAGAATAAACCATTCAACGAGGTGTATGCTGATTTACATAAAGGTATATTTTAGTATCCATTATCTGTCAACTATCTTGTATTTAGAATAACAGGTAGGTATTTCGTCATGTACTGGACTGATGATTGATGAAGTCACACAAAAACATTTTGCGAAACAGACCTGCTTTGTAAATTGACAGACTACGAGTCTTCAAGAGCCTTCAGGTTTGGTCATCAATATGGCACTGATGGGTAAATCCTCTTCAGTGTGGCATTTCAATGTTTATTTAGGGATCAATAAATAAATACCAAGCGAGGATGTGTTTGGTCCTGTTAGCGCCATGTAAACTCTAAAATGAAAAACTCTTCTAATTCATGTCCTGACAACGGCTTCTTTGAATGTGGCAATAAAGATTTAAAGATAGCTGGAAACTGTTTTGCCTATGTCTCCAGTTTTTCACACGGTGCAGGCCTGATGCTTGGTCACACTTTCATTTTAAATCAAACCGAAGACTCCAGGATGCTGACGCACTGATGCCGTGCTGATGATAAGCTTTCCTTTCTGAAGAAAACGCTTAGTCATTCCATTCTCACCACATAATGTGCTAATTCTGAGACTTTGCCACACACTTGTAATCTGGTTAGGCTTTCCTGTTAGTGTAAACCAGAGAGCAGCAAACCACTGCTCACTGCAGCGGGGGAGAAGTTAGAAGATAGTTGTTAAAAACTTTTTAAATGTCAGCTGTTATACACTGACAGCGTTTACAGACTTCATGCATAAATGTTGACTAGTTGCATCTTAAGGACTGAATGGCAGACAACTTTGAAAGACAAATACTTATTTTAGGTCCTGAGCCCCTAAGGCCAATTTCAGCCTGCTCTTGACACCTTAGCTCAACATGTTGTACCTACGGTTTAAGAACTGTAGTGTTTTTTTTAGGCTAGCTCAGTTGTGTTTCTTCCAACTGAGAAATTCACTATTTGTATTTTTCTTTATGTCTCCTGATCTTCAATGAGTTATTCATGCTTTTGTCTTATCTTGATTTTTGTCAAGTTATGTTTACATGCCTTTATTAGCAGCTTCAGGGCCTTACGGTGAAGAAAAACAAGTGGTTTTGTGTTAACAATTATAGCCCCTGCTCGCCTGTGGCACTTATGTCTACATCACAAACAACTGCCATCTCATTGGCTGTGCTTTGAAAGGTCAGCGGTAACAGAGGTCAAAGCTGAAATTATTCTAACTTTGGGTGCACTGTTTGCTGGCAATTTCTCTTGATGCTAGCTGGGATTGCGTGTTACAAGAGACTGCCAAGAGATGTGAGCAGATGTAACTATCCTATAAGTTACTCTTTAAAAAGGACAATACTGAGCCATTGACCAGATTGTGTTGGTCAATTGTGTAATTGCTTTTTACTGTTCACCATCTTACACTGCTGTGTTGGCTTGCTGACATTAACAGTAATTAGCACTAATGTCATTAATTGTGCAGAGTTGAACGTATATACAGTAGGTGGTAATGTCGCTAGATACAAAAAATGAAGGGAACACAAAAAGTTGACAATAAATGGGAACTATGAATCTACTAAATATTAGTCACAATACATTCCAATATCATCTGATTGATACGCTGCTGGAGAGGCTAAACATAAAACGATTGGATAACAATTTGATAGAGAGAAAAAAGACAGAAATCTAACTTGCCATCGGCACGTCTTCGAGCCTCTCGAAGTTGGATCTTTGTGATTTGGTACATTTTACGATGACAACAACTAGCAGAAGGATAAGGACAATACAGAAGATGCAGAGTATGGCAACGAGGCCAGGATTTCTCTCCAAGTCAGCTTTTGTCCATTCAGGTGAAAGACCTGAGGGGGAGACAAACCAAGAAGTTCCTTTGTTACTTACTCGACAAACTGGATTTACATCATTTCTACTTCAGTAAAAAGAAAAAAGTTGTTGAAAAGGAAATAATTGCAAGCAGAGAGTTCCTAAAGAGAAAAATGTGGAGGTCAACATGTTGACAGTTTTGAAAGCATCTGTAAAGTTGCTTAAATTGTAATGATTTTCAGCCTGTAATTTTACTGGTGAAAGAAACGCCACTCAGCTCAGATATCTTTTACATGCAGGAAACAGCCATTATGGGACCATATCTATATAAGTTAAAAAAAAATGGAAAGCTTTTAGTTATGTCATATTTTTATAAGTCTATTTTATTTCTAAGTCTGACCTTGGCTGGTTGTGTTTACATTGGAGGCTGCAGTGACGTTTGTTGAGTCTGATGCTGGTGGGAGTGTCACTTCGTGGGAAACTGTCTCGTTAGACGTGGTGTTGGTTGTGGTTGTCTGAGGAGAAGTGACACTGGGATGAGTTTCCTCTGTCCTGTTGGGAGTTTGTGAAGAAGTCTGCAGTGATGCTGTGGATTCTGTTTGTGTAGTGACTGCAGTGGTAATCTGTAGTGTTGTTGAAGGAGGCAGTTCTGTGTTGGTGGTGGCTGCCACACTGGCACTATTCTTCTCTGCAGCCAAACTTGTGTGGTGAGCAGCACTTGTGGTTATCTCGGTCACCGGTTTGGCTGAGGAGGAAATGGGGGTGTCTGCAAAGAAACAAACAGCATAAAAAGCTCTGTCAGGATGCACAACATGTACACCTGATCAAGACAATGCTGGAGTGTTTGTTGGATAAACTGTTTTTACCCAATCATGCATACAATTTCAACACAAGGTTCATCCTTTTCCCATATCCATTGTTTGTGAGGGTGAAACAAAACAAATAAGTAATTGGTTGAGTATTCAATTGTAACGTCACTAAAGGGAGGTTCTTCCCGTTTGAATTTCTTCAAAGCATCCCACCGTTAGAGAAGCAGGGATTTTCAGCCGCTCTTATAAGAAATATGCCATCAGGTGTAATATTTGTTTCATCAATAAGAGTGGGCACACACTGCAGTACTTTAAGCCTCATAGCCATTGTTACAGCAGGCTCATAGGACACAAAACCATTACAAGTTTGAGCCATTTCCACCTTTAATGTTTCATTCCAATAAGTTGGTGACTTTTTGACTATTATATATATGACCACCAAATCAATATTTTAATTATGTTTGATGTTTTATTTCAATCTTTATTTCTAACAGATTACAGAATAACAAATACAAAATAACAAATGTGAAAAACAGAATACTGTATTGTTAGAATACAGTATTTGTATTTCTATATTCAACAAAAAATAGTCATATTTATATATTCCACAAAAATATTAATAATAATAAATCATGTGTCCGAAAGGGAGCAGGAGGAAGCAAATGCTTATTAATTCCCACCCCTTACTGCTGATCATTGATTGTCCTTTAAACCATTTCTGCAAGTTATTCCTACTTACATATATACATACATTTACAATAATTTCTCATCTTCAATCACCTTTCTTCATTCTCATAGTTTTCCAAAAAAGTGTTTCTGTACATCCTTTTAAACTGAATTATATTGTGCTTTGTTTTAACTCCTGCTCCAAACCATTCCATAAGATTGTTATGCACATACTTCAGAGTTGTTCTGACCTTGAGTTGTTTCAAATGTAGATTTCCTCTCAAATTATACCCACCCTCTCTGTCCATGAACAATGTTTGTAATTTCCTAAGAAGTAGATTATTTCTTGCTCTGTACCTGATTTGTGCAGTTTTAAATTCAACCAGATCGGTAAACTTCAGTGTGTGTGACTTCAAGAATAATGCATTAGTGTGTTCAAGATATCCAACATGTTGACGTTGAAAAACATGTTATATTCAATTTTAAATACTTACAGTACTGTTCATTTTGCTTAGTGACATAACAAAGCAGTTCCGTTAATTAGCCAAGTTGAGCTGTTAGATGTAATGTGTTTGTCTGGGTTTCATTTGCTGAGTAAATGTAACATTCTGCAGACAAAGCTCTGCAGACAAAGCACTAATCCAAGCAGCAGCCTTGTTAGTGTGTTCGCAGAAGCCATCAGGTCCTGTAGCCCCACCCAGGTGATAGGCTGGTGATGGTCATAGGCTCATTTAACCACACCTCTGCTCTGTATACAGAATATATTATTTATTTTATGAAATATATGATTAGAATAAATACATTCACAGGGGCATTGGGCACCTTGAGTTTTGGATAAATGAGTGCGTCTTACTAAATAAACTTATATTTACTTGATTCACATTTGTAATGCATTACAAAACTGCTCCGTCTCCTGATGAATGAACATTAGCTCCACAATAGCTTTAAAATGGACCTCAATTGGTTGTTGTGTAAGCGAATGGATCTCTTTTTCCTTTTTTTTTTAAAGGCACAGTTTTGTCCGCTAATGATGACGATGATGCACCTGGTGGTGGTCAGCTGGCATGTTGTTTGCCCTTTAAATGTTTGCAGAAGCAGACGCAGTAGGTTCAGCTCAAGATAACTTTCACTGGTTAAATATTTGCTTGAGTCTCAACTCAGACGTGACCTTCCCATGTACTTCCTTCTGGGATTTAGCAATACCAGTTCCTTCTTCACTTTAATAATCTGTTATGTTACATAAACAAAACTTTGACATTTATATTTTGGAATATAAATGTAAGATTATAAATATTTTTCTCTCAGTACAGGGCTTATGCTTCAAATTATTAAAAGTTATGGTCTCAGAAATGTCTGTTATAGGTGTGGAAAGTATACTAAGTTCCATATGTTCCTGCATATTGAGGAAGCTACCTTCAACCAACCTGCGTCTCACTGCTGGTAGTTCCCCGTTTGCATGACTTTGCATCTTTATAAGATTTAAAGATGACGTTAAAGTCAAATTACTAAACAAATGAAACACATAGGCCTACATATAGTTTCCAAGTAAAAGTGGGAAATGCTGCTTACCTTCACAGAAAGTCACTGCAAACAGGGACACCAGCACAGTGAGGTGCATTGCTGCAGTCATGTTGAGGGTGGAAAAGGATGGCAGTCATAAACATTCAACCACATTTACATCCTTGACAGCAGGGTGTGTAGAGAGCCTGAGAAGGAGTGGTCTAAACGCAGCGTTGGAGCATATCAAATCTTTCCAGCTGATAAGTCAATGTTTGAACAATGCCCTCTATTCACTCTGGATTTAAAGTGGCATGATGCTACTTTACTTGCTTCTACTGCTGAAATGGTGTTTTAAAATATATATGTTTAACCAGGTCACCGCATTAAGCTCATATATGTATTTACAAATGGTGACATGGCATAGCAGCAACACAGGTTTAAACAATTAACTCAAATGCACATAGAGCTGATTAGCATTAAACTGTTACACATTTGCACACAAACAGCCTGCACTCCACATATTTCACCATTGTTTTGAAACCCATTCAGCGTCACTATGTTTAGACACCACTACATTTATTTGATCATTTAAGCTACCACTTTTTAGATTCATATAACACAAAATATATATACACTGATACGTTATGTATTACTGTAGGTGAAACTACCATTACAATAGCATTCTCACCTTTCCAACTAACACATTTAAGTGATATTCATAGTAATGTATTTTTGATTCAGTAACATATGATTCTGAAATTGGCAATTGCATTTCACTTTTGATACTTTGATAATAAATGTGATTTTCGTAAAAAAGATTGTAAACGACTGTATGTTTTGAATCCAACATAGTGTATATTTAAGTTTGAGGTAATTTAACAATAAAACAGTCAATTCATCAGATTTCAGATTTTCTACACACATTAGTATGTATAAATATGTTTGAAATATAATTTGCAGTTTAGAAATGATGGAAAAGCACACAGCAACATCAAAGATGATGAACAAAGAAATTAAATATATTTACAGTATTGCTTCACAGATTTCCACTTTCATGTCAACATCATGTCTATCAGCACAAATACTGATTATTCACCTGATATGCCAAAACTAAGAGTGCTTCATTCATAAATCAACAGCTGTAGAGTTACAGTACAGTTCATCAAGTCACACATCGACATAGTAAAGAACACTGCAGTTTGAAAAATAAATGAATTCCACATCTTCAGCCAAGTCCACACGTTTCTGAGGATTCAGTTTGATATGATAAAAATATAGTAAATATTTTATTTTATAATAATTATTCTATAGAGTATGAGCGTAATCACAAAGTGAGGTATTTTTATCGGTACCTCAAAGAGAGAAACTGCAGACAGGGTTATTTGGCATGAAAACATGTTGTAGCACCGGTCTACATATTAAGGCAAGGATAGCACACGTAAATATGATAATAAAATCATAGCTGTTTTATATTTCATGTCAAACGAGAAATATAAAGGAATGCCACTATTGGATATTTGACAGTTGAAATCTTTGAGTGAAACAAAAAAGATGAAAGCTTCACACTGAAAACACAACATGAGCTCATGGTAAGGCGTAAAGCGTGCTGCTTAAACAACATTTACCGTGTCATTGAACGCATTTTACCTCTTGTCATCTAACGTCATGTTCTCAATACCAACACGTTACATACGTATGAACATTTCCCGTTTAAAACAGGGCAATGTTGTCAATTCTAACTACTTGATTAGGTATGGAAAGATGATAGTTAGGTCAAAATAACATTATGTAATTTAAGTACACTAATATGTCAGAGTTGATGTCTGGAACACACTGGAAACAAACAGTGGTCAGCTTCTGTTGTGTTTGTTTGACCCCTCCATCCATGTTATGACATGTTAATGGCAGCGGTTACATTCATGCCATCTGAGGAAATCGCATGACAGGCAGTAAAGCAGCTTTTCATCCCTGAATATTCTTACAGGAGTGCATATCATTCAGATATAAATTTAAAAAAACAAGTGTTCCAGCACTTCCACTTTAGCATCCAAAACTCCTCCGAGTCCATGCAGGAACAGGTGGTCGTTTTAAACTTGAGAGAGGAACCATTTGTTTGAGAAGAAATAAATCTGTTTTGTGTTTAGTATTGCAATTTTGCAAAGGCCGAAAAATAAGTTTGAACGGATAAAAACAGCAAAATGTTCTTGGCCTCCTATATATGACATAAGAGTCAAGCATTCAGTCCAACTCTAATTATTCTTCTTCTCCAGAGGTTTAGACGGTGGGAGTGCTTCCTGCTGTACATCCACAGCACTGCTGTCTGATAAAGGCTCAGTGTGGGGGCTGTCATCCTGACGACACAAAAGAAACCAAAACACACAACATAAATAACATTGCTTCACTATTCTACTACTGAGCAAGTAGCAAACTGACACAATTAATAATACGAGCACATAAATGGTGGATAAGAGTTTTTAAATACTGTATAGAAAGGCCTTCCTTTCTTGTTTAAGACAGAATATGTACAGTAGTCAATGTTGAAAGACAATTAATAATTCTTGGATCGCTTTTGAGTTGGTGTGAAATTTCCAATTCAATAATAATAACTTTTCTGAAAAAAGTTAAAACCACGCTGTTTACTTTGCATCTCCTGCGCAGCTGACTTACTCTGTGTTTCAAGTACGACAGGTAGGTGTCCCAGCCTAAAGTGACAAAGTTGATATACACAACTCGGAATTGGGGTGAGAGGAAGTAGAAGTTGATCATCTGAGCGGCAGGCCAAACACAGCAGTCCGCCTGCAGGTAACAACAACACAGATTAGCATTGACAAAAATATAACACAAAGCAAACGTGTTTAAAACGGTCACTTTAAACTGGCTCATATAAAACGTGGGGAGCTGATGTAGGAAATATAATCTGGGACACGAAGCCTTAGAGAAGAACTTGTGATGAGTGAACAATAATGTGAGGACACTATCTGCTCCTCCAGGTGTACTTGCCCGGTAAAACTCCCAGAATTTGTCTTTAAACTCCTTCATTCCTTCGGATAAAGTGTGTCCCTCCATGGCTCCCATACCTGCAAAAACCAAATACAACATCTGTCAAATCATACAGTTTATCACAGACAACCTTTGAACTCGATTCACTTCTGATATTGACACACACTAGGGCCCTTTCTCATTTCTCGAATTCCCCTCCTCGACTCCTATCCTCGATACTTAGTCCCGCCCACAGGAGATGCGAGCGGAGGACTCGAGTAGGGGAGCCGAGGAGAGAGGAGGGGAAGCAGCAGGCGGTTAGAGAAATGAGAACTCCTCTCCTCTGAGCGGTCATTTTAAAGAGACGTCCATTAATGATGACAGGAGGCACAGCAGCCCTCTGTCTGATGGACAGATGTGTTCATGACGACTAATATTTACTTTGATTCATTCACAGTGCGGTATAATGAGACAACAGGCTACATATGCGGACACACACACATATTTATAAAAATATATACAATTTCAGAATCAAACAAGTATGAGAGCACTCTCATAATAACGTAACACCATCAGAGACTGGATTTATCCCCCACCCCCCCACCTTTGGTCGCTAGAATGAGGAAAATAAATTACCTGCCAAAAGTTGTATTTACAAGTATTACAAGTAAGCAGAGGACACCAAACCAACTGAGACCTGTCTGTCCGCTGCATCTACGCCAGGGGTGCCCAACCAGTCGATCGCGAGATGTGTCTAAAAATAGAACAACAACATTCTGTTGTATCGTTAATGTCCTGTAACATAATCTTCCTGTGCAGAATAATGCACATGAACGCATCAAAGCTTTGTGATTGGCCGGCGTGACCCCATGTGTCGGGGCGTGGCTGGTGGGCACTGGGCAGTATTTCGCTGACGTTGTCCGTGTCAACAGGAGTGCCAGTCCGCACACACACAAGACCGCAATTATGGCAGAAGCAAAAAAGCCCAAAATATATAATTTTCACTCCGAGTGGGAGGATGATTATTTTTGTATCTATTCCAATTCAAAGTCCATCCGTCTCATCTGCAATGCGAGCTTTATCGAATAAGGGTAATTTAGGAGCGGCATTTCAAAACAGTGCACAAACGCTACGAGACGGAATTCCCTCCTAATTCTGCCCTACGCTCCCAAAAGGGGAGGGGCCTGAAAGGACAGCTAAATGCACAGCAGTCCATTTTCACCAGGCCCAACAACAAGAGCAAGGCTGCTACCAGAGCATCTTATCGGGTCAGTCACGTTCTTGCGAAACACATGAAGTCTTTCAAAGACGGCGAAGTTGTGAAAGAAGCATTCATGGAGGCTGCTGACGCGCTTTTGGGGGACAGTAAAAATAACAGTAGCATTTCAACAGGTTTTTGATATAATAAAAACTCAAGTTAGATACCGTTATTAATCAGCTGTAAGTTTTAGTTTGTTTGAATTTATTCATTATAATTATTGTACAAAATGGTATAAGAATGCAAACATTAAGATCTGTTCTGTTTAAATTGATTATAGTCTATTATCAATTCAGGTTAAGAAACTAGTGTTGCTTGCATCCTATTTTAAAAAAGGCATTTCTTTTTATAATCTACTAAAATGCAACAAAAAAAGGGTTTGATTCTATTAATTTAGTCTTTTTTATTGCACTTTGGCAGCAGATTCCTGCGTAGCTTCAGATCTGAGTTGTCTTATTAGTAAGCCTAATTTATACTTTTGTAGCAACACTATTTTTATATAATCGCAAAGAAAGGGTTCAGAGTCTTTTCTTTTTTCCCTGTGTCATATGTGGCAGCACTGTTCAATGTTTCTTGAAAACATTACCCACTTGTAGTATGTGACGTGTGAATAAACTCCAACTCTGTATCAACAACACTGTTTTGTAACTTCAGTTAAATACTTGTATGTGTGTAGATTAGAAAGAGGTAAGATAAAGGATCTGCAGTATTTTATGAAGTATTCATCGTACGAAGGTCAGTTTTATACAAGTAGAAGTGTGTATTTACCTGGCTGTCAGTAATGGCTACGCCTCTCTAATTGGACTGGTAGATCTCGGCAGACTGGCTACTTTAAAAGTAGCTCTCGGTTCAAAAAAGGTTGGGCACCCCTGATCTACGCACTGTACCACACACACACAGCTCCCAAAGCATAATCAGGATACAGCCGTTGTGTATTTTATTATGAGAAGCACTAAATGGTTTTAGAAAAATATGGACTCTTTGTTTGTAGATATCTACTAAACTAAAGCAAATAAAGAGAGTAGGCCTGTTATACTGAGTGATATATATTAAACACACTGCTCTGCTTTCTGCACGGACCTCACAGCTGTTCTCTCTGGAAACATCGCGTCGCGATGAAAACAGTTAATAAAATAATATCCAGGGGATGCATGCAGAGCTGTCATTGGCTGAGATAAGTCCGGTCGTGCGTCACGACTCTTTGAAACATCACTGTTGTCGGAAATGCATCCATGTAGGACTCATCAGTGTATCCTCGATTATAGCTCCTCCAGAGAGCCTCCTCGACGCTCGATCCTCGGTCCTCGATGTGCATTTAGAGAAATTATATGTCCTTCAACATGGCGCGCTGAAATTAATTTCCGGGTCACTACCGGAGGACTGAGGATTCGAGGAGGGGAAATCTTTGAAATGAGAAAGGCCTAAGTTCATCTCAATGTCCCTCCTCGACTCCTCTCTCCGGGACTTCACCCGGAAATCGATCATGACACGCCATGTTGAAGGACGTCCCAATCGCTTAAATGCACATGGAGGAGTCGAGGAGGGGGAGGGAGGAGGCTTCCAGAGGAGACGAGAGCGAGGATACAGGAGAGTAGACTACGCAGAAGTGTTTTCACTACTCGCGCATCAAAGCTCCGCCCCCAGCTGCACAGCCTCTGCTCACTGCAGCTGTTCTGACCGTTAAACGAGGATCAGAGGCATGTTTAAAGTGCTTCATTAAGAGTACAAATATATTAAATCTCTTAAACGAATGAGGAGATCATAGTCTATAAAAACATTAAAGTGTGTGAAATATACTTACAAATTCAATAATAATGTTTTGATTATAAAATAATAACTTACAGTTCTTACTTGGTTTGTAATGCATGTGTGGTAGACCCACAGAACGTCAAACATTTAGGATGTATAAAAATACGGGTAGCATAACTAATACATATTTTAGTGATTTGTGTCTCATCTGTAGGACAAATTAAATAACAACATCAGATACAAAAGTTGATCTGAAACAAGCTCAAATACCATAATGAAATTAATCCATCAATTATTATTATTGTTATAATTATAACTTCAATGAAATGTTATAGCTGGAAAAACAAATACAGGACAGAAAATAATACATAGAAAACTATAATAAAAGAGATGAATGGAAGAGATGGATGAAATAATTTCAATGTGAAACTAAATCCCAGGTTTGAAGGGATTTATGTGGAGGGAAGTCCAGGGACGGGTGATAAAACTGCAAACACACCAGAAGTAAAGGGCGTTGTTTATGGTGACGCTGGAGTAAACGAGGACATCCCAACTTATACCTGAGGACTAATCTGTCCTAGCGTCTCTTCCTGGTGTCTCTCGCTCGCATCTTACGGAGGCGGAGCTAAGACGCAAGGAAGGGACGCGAGTGAGGGAAAGGAGGAGGCTAAATAATCAATTGAGATTAGCCTATTGTCTTTTGTCTTACCTCACCCACGTCTTTATGTACAACCTTTGGACTCTGTACACTCTTATGCGTGTGTGGGTGATAGCGAAACCATTATTATGTGCTAAGAAGAACTAAAAAAAACGATGAGGGTGTTTAAGGGAAGAAGGAGACAGGCTGCTTGAAAACAATACACTTTAAAATCTTCCTCACCTAAGAAATACCACATCCCCAAGAATGGTGAGGCGACCAGCTGGTCCACCAGAACCTTCTTGCCCACAGTTTTCAGAGCTCTACCCACGAACGCTCTGTCCAGAAAGATGTACCAGTAATGCAGCATGGGACCCATGGAGCAGCCCACCGTAAACATGCATCCTTTGGGAAAAGAGAGTCATGGGAATAGCAATAATTAACAGGGAATAAAACAGTCTTAAAAATGTAACACATTGCAAAAATATTCTCCAAAATGCCTTTTATATTTTAAAGACAGGGACACTCCAAAAATGACCATTTGTATATCAGTTACTTACACCAGGGGTTCCCAACCCCCGGTCCGCGGACCGGTACCGGGCCGCGGAGGTGTTACTGGCGGGCCGCGAAATAGCTGTGAGTTTATCGTAATATTTGCAGAATTATAGATATATAAAAATATTTTATCATAATATTTTTTTTGTTTAAGTGTTTAATTTTTGCACCTATACCAGTCATATTATTTCATCCAGTAGCCTGGTTAAACTTTCACTAGAAAACTGTTAAAAATGCCATGGCTTTTATGATGTTCCGAGGGATTCGGCGGATCAGCCTATGGTCTCAGCCTCTCGTGCGCACGAGAAAGTTACCGGTGCGCCAAGTAGGAAGAGGGGCGCACAGGAGACAACTGTTTAATTGCAGACTGTTATGTTTATGTGGGGAAATGGCAGTGCATACATTATTTGAGACATATTTCAAACTCGGACTTCATTTTAAGGATATGTCGGCCAGGGGTGTAGAGCTATTTGTTTAAGCACCGGATTGGCAAAACAGGAGAGTAAACCAGTCTGCGTTGATCTATGAATTCATGTCCGGGACTCTCGCGGTATCTGCTGCCCGCAGCTGTTTTATAGAAGGAAAACCTCCTTCACTTCATGAAATGGCTGCAGCATCAGGAGGCAGCGGGACGTGTAACTCCGCCTCTGAGAAGTAAAGATGTGCCTTTTTACGCACCGCCTTCGCTGTGTTTACCTTCATCAGAACAGCTTAAGAGTGACTGCAGGCTGCTACGTGTTAACCACACAAACCTCTACAGACATCAAACTGCCCCTTTTATTAGTTTTATGAAGGAGATGTCCAGTTACCAAGGCGCATGATGTGTGTGTGTATGTGCTCTGCTCAGCTCAGCTCTGTGTGTTCGGTGTGTTTGTGTCTGTCCGACACCGGCATTTGTTTTCAAATTACCATGAACAGTAATTTACACATATCTGGCTAACTCCATAGGTAACCTATATGCGGGTGTTCCCAAAATAAATTAGTTTAATCTTAATCTCGATGTAGTGCTAAATGCTGTCGGACGTGCACCGGAACGAATGTGACTATAATAATATCTTCTGAAAACAAATATCACACACACACAATGCGCCTTCTCCTTGTTTTCCCATGATTATCCGTAAATCATACAAACAAATCCAAAACGTTGATTTATCTGTTTTCCCGTTTTGGTTTAAAAACTGAATAATGTCGGTTTTTTGGTTTTCCGAAAAACCAAAAAACGACACTGGTTCTTTTTTAAACATTAATATGTTTTGGATGCATATTGTTCTAGTATTTGTTCAGGCTGTTACATAGGCTACAATTAGCCTCTGTTGCTACCTGCTGGTGATGAGTAAATATTAAAATCAGTTAAAATTGACAACCGGTCGGTCGATTTTTTTTAATGTATCTGCCGGTCCTTGGCACAATAAAGGTTGGGAACCCCTGACTTACACAATATTACCTTGAATTTAAGTAGACGGAGGCTGTGTTTAACAACAGCTTTTGGCCCATGCTTTTAGTGTTGTTGTTGTAAAAAAAAACAGCCCCCCCCGTTTACTTTAATATATAAATAATAACCTCAGTTTTTAGATTCTACATTCATCATTGTGGAATTTATTTTTTCTTCACAAATTCCCCGTCATAAAGGGTGAGTAATTGATATACAAATGATCATGTCGTGGATTAAGTATAGTTTATAGATATGGAGATTTGATTATACTGCTTGAGAGAGCTCCCCTTGTCTCTGTCTCACCTGTCCTCTTCCAGTCTCGGACTCGGCCAGGCTTCTTAAAGTTCTCCCAGCTTTGCATCACGATGTCTCCCAGCCCCAATATTACTCCTCCGCTCAGGGTGTTTGTTAACAGCAGGGTTCGGCCCTCAAAAAAAGGCCGCCAGTTGAACCGCATTCGGACCACCAACTCTTTACCCACTCGGGGAAGCATGATGTCTGGACTGCAAAGAGAGTAGTTATTTTATGAAATAATAAGCATTCAAGTAGCCTATTATAAAAAAAGTATTTAACACAGAACAATGTCACCTGTGACTATTATACTGTTTATATAATTGGATTAATATAATTTCACTTTTGTAATATGTTGAGGTGAAGCACTTCTATAAGAATTTTGTAAAGCAATGCAATTTCTTAGATTATGTTCATTCATACAGATGAATCTGCTGACTATTTATTCCATTGCTCATAATAGTGGCCAATGGCGTCACAATTCCTCAGGTCCCGAAGTGACACATTCATAATCATTGTTTGTGCAACAAAAAGTCAACATTACAACATATTTAAAGGAGCAAGTCTTGACATTGGAAAAAGTTGTTTCAAGCCTTTCATGAGTTTACTGTGCTTAAATATTCATCCTGGAAAGTTACAATAGCTATCAGATAACGCAGTGAGTCAATTAAATCGTACAATAATCCCAAATTGGCATACAAGGAAAGGACTAATGGCATAGTAAAATCAGACACGGTTGAGTTGTCCTTGTCACCTACCTCAAAATGTGCAGTGCAGTAATGTCACTTGAATGAATGTCGTAACATGCTGCAGTATGCAACTTGTGACAACCAGTTGAAACGGGGTAAAGGTTCATAGGTCAGGCAGGTGCTAACAGTTAGCCTTCAGCTAGCACTGAGGATGTCCGGTTTAGTTAAACCAGGGTTACCTGCTAGGCTGCTCTGACAATGTAGCTGCAGAAACCAGTTTAGTGAAACGCCGACTAATGGGTACAGCATGACATTGACCTCAAGTGTACAGAAGTATAGCGAAACATTGAGTCATATTTACAATGGGCTTCCTGCTTCTCGTTGAACGCCACATGTAAACTCACCGATTAGAGAGGAGTCAGAGCCGGTGTTGTGTGGAAGTCCGTTTCCCCTGACTTTAACCTCACTGCAAACACTAAACAAACAACTAAACACAACCCTATCATGGGAGGAGAACCCTAAGACAGTGAATTGCCAGGAACTGTTTGAAGAGCATCTTCAGAAATACCATGGAGAAATACAAGGGGGTGTAAGTCTTCTTCTTCTTCTGTTAGTTTGACCGCAGTTGGCATTGGCAATCCTTAATGTTGCAATACTGACATCTTCTGGAGTAGGTTGTCTCCTGCAGTGTTCAGGTTTTCCACATCAATGCTATCATAAAAAGATAACAAATTATTTTCTGCAGTTCCCCCTTCCACCAAATTAATCATCATCCTTTCTCTGATATATAATTCGTGCATCTCAATCACATGCTTACTCTTTTTGGTACATGACAATGATCACAAAGACCAGTTGGATGCTGCTCTTTTCCCTATTCTCTCCATATTTCTTGCACTATTTTAAAATTGTATTGTTATTTTAAATGTGGTTTATTGTTTTACGTCCTATATAACTATGTTGCAATGTTGGAGGAGTTTGGGATATTTATATATATATATATTTATATATATATATATATATATATGAACATAAAGCATTTGAAATTTAAAATATTATTTTACAACATTATGGATGCCCATAAGGGACTTTTTTGAAATAATATTGTGAATTTAGAAATGCAATTCCACAATGTGGCAATTTAGTATGAGTTTTTTTAAAATAATCAACATTTATTTTCACTTTCACATTAAAGGTAACTTTAAAGTAAAAAAAAAAGGAATAATCAGTTTGACAACGCATTACCCCTCTTTCAACTTGGCCAGGCTGCATGGAGACGGCCGCAGTGTTAATCCTGATGACCTCCTGATCAATAATTCAGTCTCTCTCCGGCAGTGCTCATCAATAATAAATGCCAGGTGGGGTTTTTGGGGAGGAATGTTTCAGGACAGTTGATACGCAGCGGCTCTGGATTGGTCAGACGCGCTGTCATTCTTTACCACGGCCTCAAAGTCCCGCCCCCTGTCATTCATGTAACAGCTGCGTAAATATACTGGAGCTACAGAAGGACCGGAAGTGTGTCTTTCAATAAATCGTTCGCGTTTAGGTGAGAACTCATGCTCCTTAAAGAACTGTGATAACACTTGTGTGTATATAGATATATTATTATTATGTTATATGTTGATACTAATATATTATGATTGTTACATCGCTTAAAATGTAATTTTTGGAACCATATTCTTAATTGCAATATTTTTGCATTACTGCTTTTGGTGAATATAATCAAAGCTGTCATAAACTTTTTTTGTTATTTTTACAGTATAAGAATATACTTTATTGTTAAATACGTTGACAAGGAGTTTGATTCTATAGATACAGATTGGATTGCATTTGGCTATGCAAGGCAATAATGCCAAATTCAACATACGGTTATGTGTTTTCTTTTAGTTTTGATCGTTTAATCTTCATTATAAGGTCTTCATGTATTTTAATCTTAAAGTATTCTCCATATTTTTCAGCAGCCTTTATTTTGGAATGTGTAACCGGAAGTGGTTTTGCTCAGTTTATCTCACTTGACAGTGGTGGTGTTTCTGCTGGTGCTGAACGTGGTGGATAGCAGCCGGATAGAAAAATTATAAAGGTGAGATTTTTGTCTTTATTAATATATTGCATAGATATTCATTTTATACTTAAATGTTCTGTATTATACATATATTGTTTAATCAGCGTAGCCTGTATTTGGATATTAAGTAAGGATTTAAGATTCAAGAGCCTATGACAAAAGATGCTCGCTTTAGAACAGCTGTTTTCGTTGTGAAACCCATCAAACCATGTCAGACGCGTCAAACATAATGTTTATTCGTGTTATCTTTGAGGATGGATGTGTAGCTGCTCCTGGTTTAGTGGATCTCTGGTTCGACTCCGGGCCTGTCCTGCAGGAAAAGGCGTTTCACACTGTCCGATGGTTTAAATCAGGAAAATGGGTCTAAATGTGTCTGAGGCAGGAACAGTCGCTGTTAAATTCAAACACTGAAAATCCACTCATAAAGCAAACTGGGCGATATATTCAGGGTTTTTTACACGCAAATATCCAACTATTATCCGAAATGTTCAATTAAATGGTTATCGATTATTATCAAGAAATAACATCAATGCACCATATGATACCATAGACTTACTACTGTTGCGAATATGTTTATTATTATTATAGGAAGATTATTGAATCTAATACATGAAATATTGAGCCATTATGGAAGACTGTTCTTGTAGTAGGGTGAAACATTTAGTCCTAAACCAATCAGATCTTGGTTAGTGGCTTCATATTTCCATTCTGCAACAGCAGCACATTTCACTACAGATCTGATGTAAGAATAAAGACTGAGAAATATATATATTTGGTCCAGAATTTGTGGATTTTTAAAATGTATATATAAATGAAAAGATAGACAGAGAAATAAACCAAGATGGTTGGCTTAAATTACCTTCTTCTTCGGTTTTCAAAGCGTACAATGTTAAAACTGTGATGTAATTGTTAATTCAGCCTTTTCAGTCAGCAGTTTGGTCATTAAAATGAATCAATATAAATGCACAATACCAAGAGCTATTTAGGCTATAAGATGAAAACTCTTCTGGTATGGTGATTTCACATTTTAACTGCAATGAGAGCAGTTTCATGTGTTGGAAACAGTCTGAATGTGAGCGGACAGTTTGCAGGTTGCATCTTCACTTCCTCTTCTGACAGTAAAGTTAGGTAGTGAGACTCGAGGGCGATAGTGACGCTACTGCTGTATCTCCTGGGAAAATCCATGTTGTGACAAGCACTGCCACAGTACAAACCGGAATTAGATTCAAAGGTTGGGTCGATATCTTTTATAGCATTTCAGATATTACTGTGTAGTTATGTGTTGCGTTCCACCTCTGCTGCAGAAAAGCAGTTGTTGCTAAATTAAGTCATTTTAAACCTCGGAGACTTTTATTATTTGATGAAAGTAGATGAATTTACACTTAAAAGGAAATGTAAAAATCCCGTTTGAGAGCATAACAATTGTCAAATATAAGCACAACATAAAAGCTATCAGCAGCTGGTCACATCTGCATTGATAGTAGAATAAAAAGGTTATAGCTTGAACAAAAATCTTTACATTTTGAATCAATACCACTTTTACATTTAAAAACTACACATACAGTATGTATGTAAAAACAGGTACAAATGTGTCAAATAAAGGGCAGTAGGCAGACACAGGGCTGTTATCAAACCAAAACATGTGAAATCACCTGCAGACTGTAGCACCAAAAAACATCTCCCACATCCTGGCTACCCCCCCCCCCCCCCCCCCCCCCCCTGCTCTCTGTTTGCTATGGAGGAAAAAGAAAGGAGAAGAAGACATGCTATTTTTAGCTTCCTCTCCTCTGATCTGCATCCCCACGCTTCCTAAGGCGACATGTGATTGGATGGAAAAGGGGAAAATGCCGTCTCCGGCAACCTGGGAGCAGGATAGCAGCTGCAGAAACCATGGCATCCTCTCTGTTTTAGAATATTGTTCGTATTGTTTCCACACACGGCTGCTTGCTGATGTGGTGATAAACAATACGAAAGGTGTACTATTAGATGTGGCAAACCTTAAAAACCTTGACAGGACATTAGATCTATTTTCAACGATTTTTGGAATCTTTTACCAGTTTGTGTTTCCGTGGTCCAGTTTTTAGTGCCCGACGTTTGCCTCACTGATGAGAAAACATGACTTTACATTTTTGCCATTTTAGAATAATATGCACTGCATATTTGTCATTTATTTAGAGAGAAGGCATTGGACATCATCACATATTTGGACAGAAGTATTTTATTAATTGATATAAATTAAAGTACTTAATACTATTCTATAAAATATAAATTATGTTCTTGTGATCAACATCTTACTGAAGTAAAAACATATTGCCCACAACATTTACTTATTGATGTAATAGTGAAAGCACTCGTCCTGTTCAATTGCCCCAGTCAGTGTAACATCATAGTATTGTATTTTTGTTTTAAAGTATTAAAGCGGTACTTTAATGTTGTAGCTGGTCAAGGTGGATCTGTCTGACTTTAACCACTGGTAGCATAGGACATAATTACTCACGACTAGTTTTCTTAAATACATGTGATGCATTTGCTTACTATTGCAAAATGTGTAGATCTCTTTGATTTGCTCAAAGTTCATTCTGGTTGACCTTTGAACTGTGAAATAGCAACACTCATTCATGTCCACCTGATTTCAGAAGGGGGGGGGGGTTGATCCCTCCCTTTGGAAGTATTGACGATGCCTGTTCAAAGGATGCTTAATCCATTAAATCTGTTGAATGCTAATATTAGCTCTACGAGGTGAAATGTTTTTTACCCCCCAGTTCCAGTCCAGTATTTTTCTTATATGATGTGTCAGTTGTATGGGTTTGGTTTATGATTGAGAGGGCCATGAACTGTAGTTTTGGTTGCAAAAATACGTCATACTTCAAAGTAGGGAAAGAAGTACTCAAATCTTAGTCTCACAAATGTGGATTCTTTTTTAATTGCTTTATAAAAGCAGTTTGTGAGATTTAATGGTCTTATCTTAACCTATAATAATACATAATATTTCAAATTGATGAGTAATTTATGTTGTATAAATAAATGTTCTGAGATTAAACACACAATATTTATCCTTCAAAATAATAGAAAATGGAATAACTCAAGTAAAGTCAAGGACCTTAAAATGTACTTAAGTAAGTAGGATTCGAGTTACTTAATGCAAACAGTTTATAACTTCCCCAGGTTCTGCAAACTTCAACTCAAACTCAAAATTGACTGTTTTAGTAGCTCAGCAGTTGTCAGCAGATTCCTCAGAAACATTTTTTAAGCAGGAAGGTGTTTGCTGATCTGGGATCAGCCGAGGATCAGCAGTCAGTCTGCTGGCGGCCAGCCGCTCCTGATTAAATGAGCCTGACTTGCAGCAGCACTTAGCTGGAGATCAATCCTGCTCCTTGAGGCCCTCAATCTCCTTTAGGTGACAGGTTTAGGGGAGAGCCTGATGATATCATCCTCCAGCACATAAACTCACAACTCTTAGTCATGATTGAATTAGGATTAAAGAAAAACACAAAACGCTTGGTTAGAGAAGATGGTTCAAAGGCTTGACCAACGACAATGTGCTCTTGAGCAAAGCAGAAAACCTGCAGCTGATTCAGTGAAGATGGATGGTTTTGTAGCTGCGTGTTTTATTCATAGTGTTTTACTTATCTCAGGGCTTTATATTGTTATTTGACATGTTTTGTTGTAACAGTGAGTTTTGATACCCTTCCTCCCGAAGTGGTATCATTGTTAATGCCTCTGTCGCAAAGACAATCGGAACCCTTTCCGTCTTCCTCAGAGGTAAACACAACACAGGACACTACTGCATTGGTTTTATAAGCAAATTCAACATTGACATATTTTCTATATTTATTTTAGTATCATCAACTTGTTAATATATTGTTAGCATGATGGCTAACGCTAGCGGCCAATCTACTACTGTCCAAAGCAACACAAAAACGTCACAATCTGGTAGGCTGTGATGCAGTGTATATGTCCAGGGATTTTATTGTGAAAAAGAGAACGCAACCCGTAGGCAGACAGTAAAAACGTGATATGAATCTATTTGGGCTTAGAAGCATGAATAAAACCTAATGAGGTGATCTTTTATATTTGGGCAACCCATCTCAGTTTTTAACTAAAAGTGACAGCAGTAACAGCAGAGATGTAGATTTCAGTGACATTTGGCCATCCTAGTATCAGCTCTCTCTGCCTGCAAAGGCCTGATCAAAATCGTGCGCCTGCTCCTCCATGACAAAGGCGTAGCAGTATCCTCAGCAGTCTAGTTTGACCTCTCCATTCATGTCTCTCCTGACATTCAGCCTCGTCTGAGTGTCTTGTTTCCAGTCATCAAACTGCGGAAGATAATTTTACACTCAAAGCAAGTTTAAAAAGACCTTTTATTACGGCTGAAATAGTCATTTTGAAATGTCTGGATTAGATGTTGCACTTTAACATTGGAAACTCATACGACATATATAGTCAATACATTCAATATCACTTCATCACACCACTTTTGTTATTTTGTCTCAAGTGCAGAATCCAGGCTTATTTGTGAAGTGTCAAATTGATCAAAAGGTTGTTGAAACGTTATTGATCTCTTTATTGTGGAGACACAGATGGACAACAAGCTCTTAACATTTGTAGATTGGCAGTTTATGAAGCAGGTCTAGCTGCATTTTTGATGATCGATGGAGAGGGGTTTTTTGTTTAAAAATGTAATCCATTCTGTGGCTCCAGATCCCCAATGTTAGAATTTGAGTGATTTGTGTTCTGTTTAATTCTACTGTATACCCAATAATGTTTGGAAAGAACCTTTGGCTTTAAGAAATACAACAAAAAAAACAACATTTTTTTTTACCATTTTCTGAATTGTTTTCAGGCAAAATGATTGATATGTGTAGTCTATTGTACACCCAACAATTTATTTAAATCACAAGTCTAACAGTTCATCACACCTGACTTGTACCTTTGTTTAAAGATGGGTTACTATCGAGGCCAAGTGAAAGCAGCAGCAACGTCCTGCAGGCTGAAAAACATTTGCATAATGAGAATTGCTAATTACTTTGAGATTAAGCACAGAGGCCTGCACTCTGTAAGCCTCTGTATCAAATTAGTGTTTAGTGAAGGTTAAGCCAACTCTCTTCTTCAGAGCTCCTCTCTGAGACGCAGAGGAAAGGCTGCGGCTCACTACACCGTCACATACAGCACCGAGTCATACGGCCATCAAAACTCTGTGATAGTGTTTGACAAGGTCCAGACTTCCAAAGGTGGCTGCTCGTTTCTAATGTCCTCTTATCGCAGCTATTAATAACCATCACATGCTTGTGTTTAATGATCTTATTTGAACCAGAGCTTCTGTCCAGAATAGTCTCGATAAGTGAGTGATTAAAAAAAAAAACGTATGAAAAAAGGCAGTGTCAAATCAAGCTGCAGCACATCGACCTATTCAGCAAATGCTACTGCAGTGCTAAATCAAAATGTTTGTGGATAATTTGGGGAAAGGGAAAATAAATAATGGTGTTAAAGGAATGGTATGCTCATGACACTCATTTTTAAATAATTATCATCCGATAAAACAGACCAGTCTCTGCCAGTCTTTCTTTTTTTTTAATCCGATGACATTATCAGTGATTTTAAACTGATTAATTACCGAAATAACATCAACACTGTGGGCGGCGCCATTTTACCGAACGTGACGTAAACCATGCGTTTGGTTTCGAGGACACGTTGATGTTCATGTTATTTACTGTAGTTACTCTCTTCAAATATGCCTCATTGTATCGCGAAACATTGCCACAATTCTGATAGGAACAATCCACGGAATGCTCGGTTCCATCTGTTGCCAAAAGGTAAGCGTAGGAAGTACGTTCGGAGGCAGTGGCTAGTGAAATGTGGCCGGCCCGAACCGAAAGATCCACAGGCGCATGTATGCAGCGAACATTTCAAGTTTCCGGACGACTACTCTGAGAGTATGATAAAACATAACATGGGATTTATAGAACAACCATTACTTAATGGAGATGCACCATTAAGTGGTCACCGACCAGGACACCAGTTCGGCCAGTTGAGAAATCGCCCTCTGCAAGTGTGAAGCGACGGAGGACCAGAAGTAGTGCTCGGAGTAAGAATAAGGTATGTTATAGCGCATTTCCATTGCAGCGGGTAGCCCCGTTTAAACGTCCTTTATCGTCCAGGCCAGTTTTTGGTGGCCTTTCCATATAGCGTAGTACCGGTGTTGCAGTATAACGTGAGTCATGACAACTGGCGACATTCTATTATTTTCGTCATAGGAATCCGGGGCGTGTACAATGAGGACCCATTGTTGATTTACCATGTCGGTCGCCTCGTTTGTCCTTTACGTTCATCTTTTGCTATATCTGCCTTCCTAAGATCACTTTGATGCACATTCAGTACTCGTATGTGAGGTTGTGGGTGAGAGGTGGATATCGTGACTCTTACAGGGAGGTATCGAACATTACAAAGTAGGTGACTGTGTGGATGCCTGTTCAAAATATTGCAAACTTGAATAAATCATTTAAATTATATATTTGTGTCCGACTTTCATTTGTACATCGTTCTTAATGTGATGTATAGTAGCTCTGATAGCTGTCCATACCTTCAGACAGCCTAAAAGTAAAACACAAGTTGTTTACAGCCCGAACGCTCATCGAGATGACTGGATCACTCATGACAAGTTGTGATCAGCTCCGATTAAATTGTGATATCAATGCTGTAGCTATTCTCCAGGGAGCACGTTTTTTTTATGAAATACCTGTATCCCTCTCATCACAACAAGACTCTACACACTGTGCAGGAAAAACAATTACATACATGAAAATAACCTTGATGCATGGGAATGAATCACACAAACTATCTTCCGTGGCTATACTGATATGTCACAGTAACGGTCAACCACAGAAAAGTAAGTCCAGCGGGGCACAAGCTCAATACATATAATACAGTAGTTCTATTATGCCTTTAAGCCTATACGTTTAACCCATAAGAACCCGGACCCATTTCTACTTTTGGGGAAATTAAGGGGAACGTCATTTAGACTAAATAGACCACCGAGAACACATTTCTGACAAGTAACCCCCCCTAGTGTCAAATATCTGAAATGTGACATATGTGTCACATTGGGCTTTAATGGTAAAGTAACTCTTATTTATAACTTCATTAATGAGGATGATTTTTTGGTTTACATTTGTTTGAACATACTTGAATTGAAGAATAAAGAATATGTTAACTAAATATAATTGAATCCGCTAAATTAACTGAGCAGATCATAATCATATTTGTAATTGTGCATATGTCACTCCGGGTTTACTGTGAATGTTTAGGGTTAATGTCCCGATGTGACATCAGTGTCACAGCAATATTTATGGCATTTGTTTCATATCAATTTCATCAATAAATGTTTCTACAACAGGTTATATGTAATCAGAATCAGAAAAGAGCCGAAGACAGCTTAATGTTTAACAAATGACATGTCATGTAAGCATTTGTATTGTTAAATGGCTTGAATGTTAACTTTAGCAACAAAAAACCTTTCCAAATGTAGATAGTTCTGTCACATGTGTTAGCCTGGCACATGGACATCTTGGACATGTTGTTATGGGAACACAAAAGCAAATGACAAGGACCATAACCCACCAGACTGTTCAGTGTGTGTCACTTAGGGACTTAAAAAAGGCTAAAGCTGTATAAGGAACTTTCCAGAACATTTAAAGTTCATGTGACACCTGTGTCTAAGCAATTCTGTCTGCACCATGAGGACCCACTGATATAAAATGCTTAACTGTCTAAGTTGCAACCATGCACTTTTTGGAGGGCTAAGCGCTAGCTTGACATATTTTTGGCTTCATTTATAGAAGGAAAGACAACAGTGATAGTTATGTTTCAGAATAACATTTATTGGAAATTGTTAGAACAATCTCACTGGTCACCGGCTTGAGCTTCAATCTCAGGATCCATGTATTTGTGATCAAAAGTATGCTAATATAAAAGTAGTGTAAGTCATTACATTTCAGAGACAGTAATATTGTAATGTAACGTAGCCTATTACTTAAAAAAGACAGTAATAAGTAATGTACTGTATTACATTTTGGAAGTAACTTGCCCAACACTGCAGATGATCCAGTCATCTCGATGCTGCATTCGGGCTGTGAATAAACAACTTGTGTTTTACTTTTAGGCTGTCTGAAGGTATGGACAGCTATCAAAGCTACTATACATCACATTAAGAACGATGTACAAATGAAAGTCGGACACAAATATATAATTTAAATGATTTATTCAAGTTTGCAATATTTTGAACAGGCATCCACACAGTCACCTACTTTGTAATGTTCGATACCTCCCTGTAAGCGTCACGATATCCACCTCTCACCCACAACCTCACATACGAGTACTGAATGTGCATCAAAGTGATCTTAGGAAGGCAGATATATGAAAAAAAATATGAACGTAAAGGACAAACGAGGCGACCGACATGGTAAATCAACAATGGGTCCTCAATGTACACGCCCCGGATTCCTATGACGAAAATAATAGAATGTCGCCAGTTGTCATGACTCACGTTATACTGCAACACCGGCTAGTGGGTATTTTCCCCCAGTTTTTCCGGCCCCATAAAATCGTGGTTCTAGGGCCAGGGACAACGAGGCTGAGTATGCTAAACTAGAGAGGGAATCGCTAGCAAGGGTGGTACTACATGCATACATATCTAGTAATCAAAATCATTCTATCTACTAAGTAGTACTAAGTAGGCTCGAACCTGTATGGCTGAATTCCCCCATCCAATCTCTTCATATTGCTCAAAACTTCTTCCTCGGCTGACGAGTCCGAGTCCGAACTCAAAACTCCGCCAAGTTTTCGTGTGTTTACAAAGTGAACGCATGGATGACGTCACGACCATCACGTGACTACTGAAAATGGGCAAAATGGCAGCGGCCTGACGGAATATACAGGTTTTGATCAAAAAGAGCTATAAAATCATTATTTACCGGGGAATATCGCTGATTTCTTCAGGGTATGGTTTAAACATAATGTTTCACTAAATACTGAAGTTTTGATTAATTATCTAATGAGTGGAGCATTCCTTTAAGGGACGAGTTGCGAAGTTTGGATGACACTCAAAGATAATCAAAAGTTTGGTTGCAGAGTCAACATTTAAGTGACTGTAAGACTTTGGCTTGAATGTGTATTTCTAACTCAACCTTTTATCCAATGTGTAACAACTGCAAAACTGCTGACTCCGATAAAAAAAAAACTAGTTGATAAGAGGCACATGGGCTGAAATATCTGCTGATGGTGCAACGGTAACACGAGCAGATACATTTTTAATAAGGCTAACCGAAGACGAAATTGAACACCAAGCCCAACTGATCGATTGTGATCTAACTAACAGCCGTTTGCTTCATTCAGAGAGAAAGACTCACATTTTGGGATTTCATTTGTTTACAGGGATGAATACATTTTTTCTTGGGGAATTTTTGTTTCACACTAACATTCTGTAATTGTGGTAAACTGTGTTATTTTTTTGAAATATATTTAGAACTTTGTCACATGAACTCATTATTCGGTAACATCAAGATTTGTTATACTTGTTTCTATCCACATGATTTTATTAGCATTTTCCATATGTGTATAATAAATCCTGGGTAGAAATGTCAAAAAATAAGATTTGTGCAAAAAGTCAAGGAAATATTTACATTAAGAAGCTAATCCAGAACATACTAACGAATACCTGAATATGAGAATTAGATAGATCATATATCTTGAAAATATACTTTCCCCTGCTAAGAGAATCCAAAAGCTCATACTAGACTGCACAATCATGGGACTTGAGTTTGTTCAGTAGGTGTGTCGTCTCCTGAGCTTTGTTTGATCAATGACTTTGTGGGGTGGGTCAGTTGATCCAGTGAGGATTGCTGGGTGTCAACATGCTCTACGTCTCCTTCAATCTCTGTGTTTCCTCTCTGTAGTTGGTGGGATTACGTTTTCTCCCTCAGTGACTCACACTGCAGTTTGCTGACTGCAGAGCACCCAGACTCATTTAGTCATCTTTAAGACTTGATTAGGTGCCAGTGATGTTCAGCGGGGTTAAAATGCTGAGTCACAGCTGATTTGAAATTGTTTGCATCTACCTGTAACTGCAGTTTAGTGTACATTTCTGAGATAGAGACGGATTCAAATTAACAAAAATGAAGGCAGCCTTAAAGTATAAACCACAGACTTGTGCTAATAATTTGAGAAACAAATATTAAAACATACTCAATTGTCCCAGTAAGGTGTGCTGAGACACTGTAGATCATTTCAAGCCACTTGCAACTGAATTCCATACAGCATTAATGAACCCAAGGATTTTTTTAAATGTTCTTTCAGTGTATTTTCTCTGTCATTTTTCACCAGTTTTTTTTGTACACTGATCAATAATTACATTTATTGATTAAATTAAAGCACAAACAGAATCATCAACGTTAAAGCTCTCCCAGGACTTTCATACAAATATTTGAAAATTCATTTAATATCTTATACTTTAAGCTTTATATTTACTATAGCATAGTAATTAAAGACCTAATGTTATTTAAAGTGGACCTATCATGCTATATTTGAATAATATATTGTAGGGCCATACCTATATAAAACATGTCTGTGAAGTTTTTTTTTCAAAATACCAAACAGATCATGCATTTTAGCCATGCCTCATTTCGCTCTATTTGCTGTATTCCAGCCCTGTTTTTGCAAGGGCTGATTCTGTGGCAAATGAGCTGCAGCTGACCTCGCCCCCCTGCAAAGGAGGGGGGCGAGGCACGAGCATCATGTTACCATGCTGTTACCATGCCACGGCAACTTCTCATTCCCTGATAGGTGGAGAGTTGCCCATATAGGCGGAGCTCCTTGTTTCTGATGTCAGAGATATTTTGAATCTGTATCAGTCTGTATCAGATCAGTTGCAGCCCCGTTTTTAGAGATTTGGGTATGGCGGAAAAGAGAGAGGGTTGTGTTTTCTGACGCTTGGTGTGTTCCCTGACACACCGGGGGTACATATTCATGTATAAAAGACGTACAAATGTGCATTTTGCATGATAGGTCCACTTTAAGTTGACTATTCTTATTTTTTGATTGTATTAGTTATTTCTATGACTTTATGAACTTTCTAATTTTATAAAATGCCGTCTCTTATTTTCCAGATGTCCTTTTTGTATTTGTTGGATTTTAGAACTTATTTTTTAAATAAATCCATTAGTGTATGAATTATATTCAGGAGCTCCAGGCTGCAGACTATGTGAGGAAGTAGTGACGTCAAAGCCGGAGCAGAACTTGGCATCAACCTATTAAAATCCACAATATTGCTGCTCTGTTTTAGATGTTCTCAAATTAGGAGCCTGAAAAAACAAATAGTCTCTATTTCCACCAAAAAGACCAGGAATTATATTTGCTTTTTTTCAGGCCTTCAGGTGTTTGTTTCCTGTCCTCAGCCTCTTTGCATAAAAAACATCAATGTGTTGAGGACTGGTCGATGGTTCTTCATTATTTAACAAGCATCTTTGAGTTCCTTCATGTAAACCGATAGGTTTTTTTGTTTGTACTTAGTTCCCGAAGAGCTCTCGTGTTTCACTGCAGCCGTGCGGAGATAACAGTCTAAATATAGAGCAGGCTGCAGCAACTCTGGGGCCTGTGGGCTCGAGTCATTGTGCTCTCAAGAGTCGAAAAGGTTTCCTGAATCCTTTTAGCCCTGAACTCTGTAGCCCACTGGTAGTCAGCATTATGACATACCAGCTAACAATGCAAGTCATGTAGACGATGGTTTTGCTACTGAAGTTAGAACTGCAAGATGGTGGAAAAGCCTGAACATTACTGTAACTTACCAAAAGGTGGATTGGTCAGGCTCTGAATTTCTCCCTTGCTCTCATCTTTTCAGCTTTCACACAAATATATCTGTCACTCTTCATAGGAGTTCAACAGCAGGAATGTCTTTCAGGAGAGACTTTGAGAAATATGTGCAATCCCAAATGTAACGGTATTGCATCTCCTCGAGCTCCATGACACCATTTTGTATATTCATATATTTTCTAATTGGTAGATGAAATTCCTGTCAGGAGCCAGTTCAAAAGAGGGAGAGACTGAATGTTACGTACACATTTTATTTGAATGTTACGTAAATGATACAAAATAAATCTCAAGTATGAAAGAAATGTACGCACATTTTACACATGTATACACCTCCAGCTAGTTTAGGTTATGGGATGTTTAAGTATCTGCGTCACATTCAGACTGCTTAAAATGAATTTTGGTATCAACCTGGGTGTTATTCTTATATTTCTTTGGTGGTCTTGACAGTGTTTTACTCACCACAGTTAAACATAATAAGGAACATTTGCAAGGACAAAAGCAACGTGGGCAAGCAGCTTCAGGATCTTTAAAAAACTTTAGTGACAGAAATCTCCTATCTCTGTGTCTTTGAGTCAAATCAGACAGGCTAGCGCCCCTTGAAATCCATGTAGTTGTAAATAACTGTAATGAGAAGCAGAAATGTCTTGGCAAGCTTCTAGCTGACGTAGATACCTGTTCTAGTATATTGTGAGTATATTTTGATTTTAGAGGGGTCTTCATATAGATGTTAAGCTTCAGCTGTGAGCACAAGACTCCTGTTCGAAGGAGCCCTCTCCAACTTTTCTCTGCCCTGACCTTAAAATAATGATCTTATGGCAGTAATTGATGGTTTCGAGTTATTGATGTTAAAATACAAATCCCGCTGGTATAAATCAAACTGAATGCTAGTGTGGTTAATTGCTCTTCACACATCCCCAGCTGATTGTGACTGATTGAACCTTTTGCCTCCAACCTTTTTGCCGAATTGAGAAAACCCAGATGGGTTTTCTATTTTCCCCTTACATCGCAATATGCTGCTTTGATTTATTACCATTATGGCAGATGTGCAGTTTTTAAAGCGTATTACTTCATCACTATCTTGCTGAGTATGAAAAACGCTGAGAGAATCTCATCTTCTTTCCAAACTCTAATTAAATGTATAACCTTTTAAATACGGAAACTCATGTCCGCTGTTTTTGAATGGTTTGGTTTAATATTATTAGAGTGTTTTATTACTCATTACTTTTAAAGAGATGATCATTCATTATTTCTTTCAGTCATTCATTAGAGTTCTGTCCAACCCTTAAGGTGCTGCAGATGTGCAAGGATGATTGTTTTTCCCATATGTCGGCCCCTCCAAGTCCAAGTAGATGGAGTTAAAATGCATGTTTTGTTCGTCCAACAGAATCTGAATATATATACTGTATATCAAGTATAAAGTTTACTTAGGTGTTCTTTTGTTGCTTTCAAATACTTACTGTCCTCGATATCAATTTTTTAAATGTTCAGAAACCTTTCTGCACATTCAAAACATATCCCATCATTAATGTTCTCTGGAAAGTTGAAGTATTTTAAGGGAAAAAAACGATTGGATTTAATAATATAAAGTCAGAACCTTTTAATATATTTTAAGTCAATGTTTTATGAACAAACATGATTGCCAGGGAGAATTCAGTATGGATTTTTCTGACCAAATTGTATGTCGTAGGAAATTAGATGAAAGTCACTGTTTTCTTCCTTGGCAGATAACTCACCTGTAAGATATGTTTAAGTCATATTGAATGCAACATAATTGGCAATGTTATTGGTTTGGAACCTCCACCCAGTAAGGAACAGCTACCTATATTGTAAATGTATTATCTTTTCGATTTATACACGGCATCTATTGCACGTCTGTCTGTCCTGAGAGAGGGATCCCTCCTCTGTTGCTCTCCCTGAGGTTTCTCTCATTTTTCCCTTTAAACT